ACGGATTATTGTATTGTCATCCAAGACCAAGGTCTATTCCAATTTTCAGAATTTTTCATCGTCAAAAAGTGTCTCAAATCGAGCGCGTAAGATTTGATTACGGACAAACAGTCGTGAAAGCGACCTTAAGAAAAGTGTGTAAAAACAGTAGTAACCATCAACGAAACAGTGAGTTGTCAATGAATTCAAAGGCTATGAAACTATGAAAGCTCTTCCTAGACGCAGTGCCGCAACTAGGATTCTTGGGGCCCCGGACACAGTCAATGTATGGGGCCCTGAGGCTTATGTATATATTTTTTTATAGGTTACCAATACAAAATAAATAATGATGGTATTTTTTTTTTAAAAACCTAAAAAATAAAATGCGAAGGCACACCACCACCCAGTGACTGGTGTCTTGTTATTAAAATATAACAACACTTTTAGTGTTTGTTTTTTTATTATAAATATAAATTGTATTATAATATTGATTCTGTCATTAAATTACCAATACTTTCACTGTTTCACTAACAGTTTTATCAGAATATTCAGAATCATCATAAATAGAATTAGCTAAAATAATAAAATGTATGAAATAATTGTTAAAACGTTCATCGGCGGTGACCGGGAGGGGGGCTTACGGGGGCTTAGCACCCTCAAAATAAATAATTTGAAGTTAAAGCCCCCCTAAAAATATTAAACAAACAATACCATAGGTACTTTTGTACAATTTGCAAAATTGTTATCAATATTTTATATTCTAATATCCACAATTATATAAGTGTATTTAGTACATACATATTATTTACCAATTTATTCTGTCACTAAATTACCAATACTTTCACTAACAGTTTTATATATAAATATAGATGTTATTATGGATCAATAGGGGCCCCCCGCTCTTCGACAACACATTAAATAGCATTATAAATCATAAAAATAAATATTTTCAATAATATTTTTACTTAATATATTTTATTTTATTTAAACATTAAACTATTATACATTTTTTTTTAAATAGACGCACTGCACGTCGGGGCCCCTTGAGCCAACGATTAGCGGCCCTCTGCAGGGGCATTGCCCCGGCTGCTCCTGTGATTGTTGCGGCACTGCCTAGACGGTTAAAACGGTTCATGTTACATTTGTTCAGCAAAATTCACCTTAGAATTTAAACGACTATATTATTATAAATGTTGGTGGTTTTTATACTATATATTTCATTGTTGATGTTGAAATAAATTTTATTTTTACTATTAATATGTATTATTTGTAGGACACTATAATACAAATAATAATAATAATAATGTAATAGTATAATAATATACTCTATAATAAAATAAAATAAATACAAATAAAATATAATATATTAATATGGCAATTACCGTGATGGCCGTTTCCCGGGTAATTGTGTGAATTGTGGCCCGCCTGAATGATCAGCTGTTTGTTGTTTTCATTTCAGACTTATTTACGTGCGTGCAGTAAGAGTGTTTTTATTTGGAAAGTAGATAATAATATAATATTACTACGTCTGTTATCTTATACGCGCTCGTCTGTCGTTTGGATTTTCAATAATTCGATCTGTTTTGGAGCAAAGAGTTATATTAATTCTATCCTGTAATATTGTTGTTACGGAAGACCTACCGACGTCTACTGCTGCCAACCGGATTACCGTGGGTTTCCTCCAGCATCAACCGTCWCTGGAGTTTTTCAAATAACCACCCGCTGGTATGGTTACGATGATTCCAGATGATTCCAGATGATGAGTCCATGATGGCATTTCCAGTGAGTATTCCTTTCCAACCTCTTCACCTCGTTGAGTTTTTGCTCCTTCTTCGCAATCGCTTGATTGGCTCAGTCTCGGGGAATCAATTGTTTGCGCTTGTTGTTGGTGTGTTTGTCGTTAGTCATAAATTTAACCGTGTGTACTATATTTATGTCCTGATATTTAAATATTTTACGGTCAGTCGCAGTTAACAGAAGAAACAACTGATTGAATGTTGAATTGCTGCTAGTATTAAACTTATAGATTATACACTTAGTTTTAATATACCTATATCTATCATTTTTACAGCACGTTAAAGTGATATTTGAAATTGGTCATGAGGCGTCTGTTAGAAACAAACGAACACCAGAAGGCTTCACTCATGACTGGGAATTGTTTGTTCGTGGTGCTGACAACACCGACATACATTTCTTTGTCGACAAAGTTGTGTTCCATTTACATGACACATTTCCAAATCCAAAAAGAGGTAAGTGTTATTTTATTAAACTTATATCTTAGTTTTAAATAAACTATTGCATTATTTTATATTATTCATCTCATTCAATTTTATTGTTGAATAACTTAACATTGAAGTACTTTTCCACAAGTTTGTAGTTAAAATGATTTTAAGCAATTTTTCATGTAAAACAATTTATCTAAAATCAATAATTATTTATTCATTTGCTTACTAAAATTAATTATAATTATGAAACTTCACAATTATTTTTTCAAAGAAAATATTTTAGTGTTATAATTTCACAGTTATCTAGATTTTATATTAGAGACTAAATCAATTAATAATTACTCTTAAAAATAACTTAATTATTCAAAATTAGGTTACAATATTAAAAATTATTTAACAAAGCAAACTAATTATTGCTATTATTATACTAATTTATGAATTAAATATCAAATAAATACTAGCATTCTAATTTTAGTTATTTTTCAAATCATAAGGGTTCACCTTCATATAATAATAATATAATACATTTTTCTACATAATCAAATACAATTTTAATTTAAATTATAAAGATAYTGTTAATTTACAATGTTAAAAATGGTATTTGTAAAACATTAAAATGAGAAAATTAATATTTATCATCTCAAGTTAACACTATTGATTATGGTATAATACAGTAAACTTCCATATTATGGTAACAAAAAATAAAAAACAGTTAGAGATATTAAGTCTTATTATACCTAATGTTAATATTACTTCAAGGGGTAATTATTATCAAATATGTATAATTTCCCAAATGAACAAGTGTTCAAATTATTTTATAAATAGAAATTAATAATTTTTATGTAATATATAGTTTTTTTTTGTGTGATAGTATTATTACTATGTGTTTTATTTTAGTTGTAGTAATTGAATCTCGAATAATTATTTATTTTTTAATTTGTTTCCAGTGGTTAAAGAACCACCTTATGTCGTGAAAGAATCGGGATATGCTGGTTTTCCGTTACCTATTGACATATATGTAAAAAATAAAGATGAACCAAGAAAAATTAGGTTTAACTATGAATTGACACTTCAAGAACGTGGTTCACCACCTATGTCAAAAGTCATTAGAGAAACCTATGTATTTAGCCCTTCAGAAGATTTCAGACGAAAGCTTATCAAAGGTGGAGGAGTAAGTAAACTTTTTTACCCATATCTTCAATCTATCTACTTACTACATTATGTTTGCCATAAATATTTTATCATCTATAAAGTATATTATTATCTATGTTTAGATAAGTAATAATAATACTAAAATGTTTATAGATCTGTAAATGGTTTATATATTTGTATTTTTCTATCAAATGTGCTTGACATCTGCAAAAGTATAGTAWTTTTTGGGTATTGATCAATTTTAATGATAGCAAATAATTTTAGTAGGTAATAATATAAGTATTTTTACATAGCTTTTAATATGTAGAAAAATTCATAATACATTTTTAAAGTTTAGTGATCAAATGAATGAGCTTATATTGTTTTTTAATATTAATATCAGAGCGATGATGTATATTTTAATATTTTAATCTCACTTTTATCGCCATATTCTCTACAATGATATACATACAGGTTAGTGTCCTGCGAAGATTTACTCATTGCGATATCTCAAGAAATAATCGAGATATTAAAATTCTGGTTTTGTTACAAGACTCACGAGAATTAAAACTACAATAATTTCATTTTTAAATTTATTTTAATGTTTTGGTAAACAATTTAAAAAATATATTTTTTTTATTTAATTATATCCAAAAAAATTAAAGACAGCCATTTTGTAGAGTTTATTTTTCTGAAAATATTGACATGAAATTTTATTTTTATTAATTTCCTGATTTTTTATATTTTTTTCTAGTTTTGAAAAAATAAAATATGACTATAACTARGCACACTGAAATCGTTTTGCTGTCCTTACGAGCACTTGCGCGGCTCGGTTTTTCACATGTTTGATAACACTACAGTGTTAAATAATTCACAGTTTTTCTCGAAACTAAAGAAAAATCAAAAATCAGGAGATTAACGAAAATTAAATTCTGAATTGTCAATATTTTCTGAAAAATAAACTACAAAATGACTATAGTGAATTTTTTTAGAAATAAAAAAAWATATCTTTTAATTTTTTTTACTAAAACATTAAAGTTAATTAAAATAAGAAATAATTGTAATTCTTATCCCTGTAAGTTTTATTGCAATGCCAGAATTATGATATCTCCATTATTTCGGGAGATATCGCAATGGGTGGCTTTGTGGAACACCTGTATATGCGTTCTATATAGGTGTATATAATTGTACA